CTGTCCGCTCCAAGAGGCCCCCAGCGAATGAAAAGTGGTCCACTATCACAGCAAGTCCGTTCTTTTTTGGGCATCTCTGGGATTTCCAGCTCTGCGGTCGGTCGAGGAGTGACTCCAAGAAGGCCTCCGGGAAGCCGATGAGCGCCTGAGGTGTTGCCATGCGGGTTCCATATAATCTCAAAGTGACTCCGGGGGGGACTATTGGGCGGGGGGCTCTGGGCTCCTGGGCCAGAGTCCCTGAGATCCTGGCGTCTCAATTTTTTGTCGAGCTGGGCGCTTCCGTCAGGTTTCGGGCCCAGGACCCTCTGTCATCCTTTGCTTCCCTGGGGGGGTGTTCTTCGAACCCTTTCCTCCTCCCTTCGTGCTCTCCTGCGGTATTTAGCCACTTTGGCTTAGGACGTGACTCCGAGGAGTCACTGAGGTGACGTGCGAGGCTTTCAGATACACAAGTTTATCTCCACCCGAACCCTTTGCCGTTCCATCGGCCCGTCGACCCCGTGACGCCTCACAGACCGGTCCGGCTCACAGAATGACGCAGACAGCTGGGGGTCCACAGGGCTCCGGACGAGATTTTCCCTGACGCCGCACTCTTGCTCGCAGGGTCGGATCTGGGAGGTCGCCTGAGCGTGCCGTGGGGCGCGTCAGGATCGGGGGACGAAATCTATACATATCCACTGCTCCCTGGCCAGGCCCATCCTGAACCCAGGAGCTGTGTATACGCCCTCCTGGCCAAACCAGGAGGGCGTGGCGTATACACAGCTGCTGTGTTCAGGATGGGCCTGCCTGGCCAGGGAGCAGTGGATATGTATAGATTGCGTCGCCCTACAGGAGCTCCCAAAGAGCTCTCGAGGCGGCCCGGGGGACTGCCGGGGAGGGCGAGGAGGGCCCCGGAGGCTTCCGAAGGCCCTCAGGGCGGCCCCCAGACGGCCACAAGAGAGCTCCAAGATGGTTCCAGCGCTCGAGTGGGAGATCGAGACTGCAGCACGGATTTCCCTAGAAAAGTCTTATTCGTAGAGTCTACAAAAGATGCGTGGACTGCTCCGTAGATCTATGGGGAGGAGTGTATGGCTATTTTCGTATATTCGATGGAACATCAATTCGGGGGTACACCGATTCTGTAGTCGATCCCTTATTCAAAACGCGTCAGAATGAGAGAAGTTCTTCAGGCAGACGTCAGGTCTTGCCATATTCTGAGATTTACAACCTTTCGGTTGAGGCTGGCTCCAAGAAGGCTTCGGAGAAGCAGATGAGTGTCGAACGAGGCCCTCATAGGGACCCTACCATCGAGGGTCGCAAGATGGAGGTCGAGTGCCCCAAGAGTTCCCTGGTGGGCGTGTCTTTCACACGGGGTTGCTTTACGCTGTTCTGCGTTTCTTTGATTTGCACTGCATGTAACTGTTTTGCACTTGAGCTGCTTTACATTTCCTTGCAATGTTTTGCATCGTTTTGCTTTCAGGCGCATTGCCGCTGTATGCTTTCCATGGCAATGTTCTGAATCGCACTGCCATTGCAGTGACCCACGTGTGCTGCTTTGCATACAGTCGAGGCTGATTGGAGAGGACACGCGAGAGGACACGAGACCCTTGCGAGGGCCATATTGCCATGGGAATGTAGAAGACATGGGTCGCGCAACGCAGGACTCAAGGGTACCCTTTTGATTTGGCAGGGTCGACCTACCAATCAGCCTCGACTGTAGGTACGAGTTGAATACTTTTCGGTCTGCACATGTCGGTAGTACGTCTCTGCGCTGCTCGCGTTCTCCCGGCTTCCTCGGCTCCCGCCTCTCCTGTAGACGCACGCGCTCACGCAGCCGAGAGCACGCCAAGGGCTGGAGCCTGCTGGACTCCCAAAAGCGCGAGGCGCGCGCTCGGTTCCGGTCAACACGCGTGCCTATGTCTTCACCTTTGCCCGAAAGTGCCAGCCACACAGCACACAGTTTGTGCGCTGCACGTGCCGGGGCGAATGGCCCAAATCTTCATTGGGGTATTGACGATGATGAATATTGTCGGTCCTTGCGTTTTTTTTTTTTTTTTTTTTTTTTTTTTTTTTTTTCTCGTTGTGGGGATAAGAAAATAATCATATGTTCTTGTCTTTGATCATTAGTATGATTACCATTTTTATTATTAGTCTAATATTACATATATATATATATATAGATCAGCCCTGCGAGTTGGGTGATCCTTTGAGGTTCGGATCAGTAGCAATGTCATCAGGCGTTCTGTTCACATCACAGATTTTTAGAGCTGGCCATGATGCGTCAGTCGAAGCTCGATATACAGTGGGTTTGAAGTTGAAGAGTAAGCATTCGCCAAGAGCCTTCACCTCTTCTGCCACGTCGTGGTCAGCGGTTTGGGGAGTTCTTCTGGCACGGGCTGATCGCCCAGGCAGTCGTCGCCCAAGTATTACGGGACCTCGTCCCGGAAAGTCGCGATGGAGCCGACAGGGATGAGCACTCGTTGTTTTGCGCATGCGAGTTGCTTCAGGCTGTCGCGGTCCCCCTGAAGAGACTGCGATATGGGCAGAATCTGCTGAGGATGTGCTCGGACTGGCTGTGCACGCTGAGGGATGAGAGGAACCCGGTCAGCAGGAAGCCGTGCTTGTCCGCGGGGGCGCGGGCTCGCATCGCTGAGCTGAGCTCCTGCATGGGCGAGTCGTGGCCCGAGCGGCCAGCCAGCGGGACCGGCAGCGGGGGTCTCTGAGCACGGCAGGGGAGCCGGGGCCGAGGCGGGGAGCGAGCGGCGGGAGGGGCGGGCGCCCGTGCCGCTTCCGGCTGCCGCTCCTCCGGCGCCCTGCCCCTCTCTGCTCTCTGCTCCTGCTGCTCCTCCTCCCTCCGCGCCCGCTGGCGTGCAGTCTCCCGGGGCACGTCGCGAAGTGCCGTGCCGTGCTCCGTTGGCTCTCGCAGCGCGGCGTTCCAGCATGGAGGGAAGCAGTCCGAAGGAGTCCTCCTTCTGCGCTGCTCGGCGCTGGTCCGCCTAATGGCTGGGCTGCGCTGCGCGCAGCAGGCGCTGAGCTCCTGGGGCGCAGATCGCCCAGGTAGCTGTGGGGGAGTTCACCATTTGGCCCCGCACCTCTCGAGGGAGTTCCCCCACGAGGTAGCTGTGGGGGAGTTCCCCCGCAGCTACTCGAGGGAGTTCCCCCACAGCTCTCGAGGGAGTTCCCTTCACCACTTGGCAGCTGTGGGGCAGTTCCCCCGCGAGGGGCTCCTGGACCTCCTGGGAGGTCCCCGAAGGATCCCGGGAGGCCGCAGGAGGCCTGCCGTTCAGCCCCCGCCAAGGAAAGGGCGGCAGCGCTCGGAAGCATTGACCATCGATCCGGGGGGAAAAGTGGCATAAACCTTGACGTTCGGAGGTCGGCGCGGATATCTCGGATCGACGCTGGAGCCCCCTGGGCGGCGCCTCCGGCGCCGCCCCTGGCGCGCCTCCGCGCGCCAGGGAGGGGATCCTGCGCCGATCCAGGACACCCGGGCGGACCTCCATCAGTTTAAACTTACGTATATTTTGGTTGTTTTTGTTCCTCTAGCTTTAAGTCGGGCATGTCCCTCTACAGGGGCAATATCCATGAATAGTTAAAAGTAGTCAGGTGACCATTTTCCGTTCTCTTTGGACTATTCTTGATTTGTTTGTTGGAGTATGTTGTTTTTCTTCCAAAGTCTGCCTGTAGGAAGACATGCCCGACCTACATCTAGCTCAGACGCATCGGCCCTCGACCTGTTATCGAGGATGCTCCCCGTTCTCCTCCTCTCCTTGCCGTTGTGAGGCAGAGCAGCCGCGCGCGGGCGCGCGCGCGCGCGGGCGCGCGCGCGGGCGGCCTGCCCAGCTGCCCCTGCGGGGCCCCGTCGCTCCTTGGGGGAGCCTCTTCCTCCGCCTCCTTCCGACCTCACGCGGCCGTCGGGAACAACGCTGGGGGCGGGGGACCGGCACAGGGGGGGGCGATGAATGGACCTCCAACCGCCCACTGATCGCCGATAGGGGCCCGATAGCCCCAACCCGCGCCCAGGGTGGTGCGGTTTCGCTAGCGGGGGCCTGCCGCCGATCCGTCGACGATGCATCGCCGATCCCAGGTCGATGCGGTCCCTCCTATGCGGGTCCCCCCGCATCGTTGCATCTCAGGCAGGCGGGGACGGCAACACCTGAGCACCGGAAGAAAGCGGGGCCGTCTGCGCCGACATTTGCGCGTAGGCTCCCGGCGTGCCGTCGCGCGTGAGCCCACTCGTTTCCAATGTGGGGTGCCGCCTTTAGGATGTTTGTGGGGATGTCGCAGGAGGCCTCTCGGGGGCCTCTTGGGGGCCTCTCAGGGCCTATTGTTGCCTCTTGGGGCGTTTTGGGGGCCTCTTGGGGGTCCTTTGGGGCCTCTGGGGGGCCTCTCGGGGCCTCCTTGGGGCCTCCTGGGGGCTTTCTGGGGTGGAAGACTCGGATTTTAGGGTCGTGTTTCCCCTCTGGGGCCCTTCGTGGGGTTGCCTTTTGGCCCTCTTGGGCAGTTTTGGGCGCCTCTGGGGCCATCTTTGAGCCCTCTTGGGCCGCCTAGGGGCCCTCCCTGGGGCCTCGTGGGCCGTCTCAGGGCGGTCTCGGGTGCCTCGTGGGCCGTCTTGGAGCGTTGGAAGCTGGAAGGGTCGAGGACTCCAATCACATGGACCCCCTCAGGACGATCAATGATTTTGGCCTCTTGGGGTCCTTTCGAGAAGACTCTTGGGGCTCCCTTGGCGTGTCGAAGGCGTCTTGGGCCGACTGGAGGCATTCGTGGGCGTCTTGGGCCGACTGTTCGGCGATTCGGGGCCTTGTCCTCTTGGGCTGTCTAGGTGGCCTCTCGGGGCACTCTGGGCCCGTCTTGGGGCCCCCTTGGGCCCGAAAAAGTCACGCGAGAAGATGCCCCGAGCCCCAGAAGGCACTCGACGCTCCCCAGGGGGCACGCGGCAAGCCCCAGGAGATTTGGCAATGCTGGGTCTGGGCCATTCAAAGATCATAAGGACTGAGGACCGAGGCTCTGCGGGATCGAGCAAGGGACTCGAGAACACTCCAGCTCGTGCATCGAGGGCACGGTGGCGGATGCCATCTTCTGCTCCTCGAGAGCCACCTGCCCCAGATCTGCAGAGGATCGCACCCAGCTGCGCGGGGCCCCGCTGAAGTGGTGGCCCAGGCGAGCTTCTGCGAGCATGCGTGGGCGGGCACGGCTCGGAGATGCCAGGGCGGCCCGTCTGGGAGTGTGGCGCAGGCCTGGGGAGAGGGCCGTGCCGCCCCCATCGGTTTCCTCCCGCCTTCCCCGCTCGGAAGCGGTGTGGAGTGCCCGGGCGAGCCCCCTCGGCTGAACACTCTCTTTGTCTTCTTTGGGCTTCAGGAGGCCTCGGGAGACCTTCAGAAGCTTCCGTGGGAGATTCACAGGCCTACGGGGGACCTCTGGACGCCTCTGGAGGCCCTCCGAGATCTCCACAGGCCTCGTGGTACCTGTGGCCCTGTCCTGTTCTCGTCCTCGCCACAGTCGTGGTCGTGGCTGTCGTCGTGGTGGTGGTCGTCGTCGTCGTCGTCGTCGCCGTCGCCGTCGCCGTCGCCGTCGCCGTCGTCCTCGTCGTCGTCGTCGTCGTCGTCGTCGTCGTCGTCGCCGTCGCCGTCGCCGTCGCCGTCGCCGTCGCCGTCGCCGTCGCCGTCGCCGTCGCCGTCGTCGTCGTCGTCGTCGTCCTCGTCCTCGTCGTCGTCGTCGTCGTCGTCGTCGTCGTCGTCGTCGTCGTGTCATTGTCGCCGTCGCCGAGGTAGTCGTCGTCGTCGCCGTCGTTGTTCTGGGCCTCGTTCCTGTGGTTCTCGTCTTCCTTTACCCGCACATAGAAGCCCATTTCGCCTGCAGCCTGGGGTCGAGGTGGCTCTGGGCAGTGTCTTGTCGTTTCCAACCGCCCCTTCTGGGGGGGCCGATGCAGTTGACGGAGGTGTTGCTTTACGCCAGATCAGTCCCCGCCTTGTGATCGGTGGCAGGCCTGGCCTGGGGAGGACGCAGATGACGGACGAGCCGAGCCTGAAGCGCCATTGCGTGGGGACTACGGATCGCGCCGCGGTCTTAGCGACCGCCCAGATTCGAGCGTCGAAGAGCTTGGAAATGAACGCCGCTGCCATGTAGGGTGAGATCAGGGAAGCGGCGGATTCCGGCGAGGTTTTTTGTCGTGTTTCCCGAGGTGTCGCTCACGGGCTACCTTTGCGACGTCGTCGCCGCCCCAAGACGCCGCTTCTGTGCGAAACCGCGCTGGGTGCGATCTCTGCAGCGTGCCCCGATGCGGGCATCTCCGCGGTGTTGGGGGCGCCCGTGTATTCCAGCGGAGGGGTCCTGAATGCCGCGATCGTGATCGACAAGGGCGGGGTGATCATCACCCGCCAGCCAAAGCTGCAGCTCGTGCCGACGGACGATTGGGCGCTGCCGGGCGAGGGGCTCTCCACCTTCTCGCTCCCCTTTTCTGGCGGCAGCCTCGTGTGTGGCGCCGTCATCTGCCACGACATCCGGTACCCCGAGCTGGCGCGGCTCCTCGTTCTGGGAGGGGCCTGATGCCTCTTCCAGGGCGACGCGATCTATGCGTATCCACTGCCCCTGGCCAGGCCCATCCTGGGCCCAGGTGTGGAGTAGATGCCTCCCTTGTGTGGAGGGTATGCCTCCCTGGCCAAGCCAGGGGGGCGTATACACCGCTCCTGGGCCCAGGATGGGCGAGGCTAGGGGCAGTGGATATGCATGGGTCTCGTCGGCCTGACTTCCACATCAGCTGCGCGACGTGTTCAACGACGAGCACGTGCCGCTCACCGAGGAGGAGCTCCAGCCCAGTGTATTCCTTGCTTTTGGCTATTAGCACATGAGTGCTGTTGCGCTTCAACTCGTGGCGTCGAGCTACGCTCCGCGGGATGCTTGGCCGCTGCGCTCTACTGGCTAATTAGCCCCAGACTGCTGTCCGCGCTTCAACTCCTGGCGTCGAACTATGCTCCGCGGGTTACTTGGCCGCTGCACTTTGGCTCTTCAGTGCCTCATCTTTTTCTTTTCACCATCCCTTCTTCACAGCAGTGGTGGACGTATCCTTCACTGCGCGTCCCGACTAAATCCGGGCGCAATTCACGCCTCCACCCATGGGCCGCGCCTGAGACACTTCTGCCCGCTGGCTCACAGTGTGTGTGTGTGTGTGTGTGCGCGTGTGTGTGAGAGAGAGTGTGTGTTGTGTGTGCGTGAGTCTTTGATCTAGGGAAAAATAGGCTCAGTGTTGGATTCGTGCTTGTTCTTCGTGCGCCCACATTTCTGTTGTGTTCCGATGCCAGTTTGTACGTGCGCGCTGGGTTCTCGGCCTCGCCTCGGCCTTGCCTCCATCGGGCGTGCATAAGAGTGACCCTTCGCTGGAGTGACCTTTGGTGCGGGAACACTGGGGTCCTCAGATGACCGCGCGCGACGCGATAGCGGCGGCTTGCGCGATCGGGTTTGGCTTCCCCGCGGCCCCGACGCGCACCAAAGGTCACCCCGTGCACTGAAGGTCACTCTTGGCTAGGGTACTCTTGGCTAGGGTCACTCGGTCTCCCTGCGCACCAAAGGTCATTCGGTGTCCCCGAGGCCAAGTTTTGGCCTCCCCGCTCGCCGAAGGCGACTTATGGCTAGGGACACTCTTGCGTATAGCCGCCTTCAGGCGACGTCCGCGCTGGACGGCGCGAGCGAGGAGCGCATGTACTCGGCGGTCCGCGAGCACGTCGAATGCTACGTGTCCGTCGGGCACCGTGCCGCGCTGGAGGCCTTCCACACCCACAAGGCGGCCTGTGCGGGGCAGGGCGAGGCGGGCGACGCCGATGACGACCATTATGATGATGCTGTGATGATGATGCTGATGAGGATGTGGATGCAGATGGTGATGATGATGCTGATGATGATGATGGTGCTGCTTCTTGATATTGTGATGACGGAGATGATGATGACTCTGATGATGCTGGCGATGATGACGATTTGGATGCGGATGCAGACGATTATGTTGATGATGGTGATGATGCTCATGCTGCAGATAAACATGACGATGGTACTGGTCCTGCTCATTATTGTATTGATGATGGTGGTAGTGGTGGAGTTGGTGATGATGATGGTGATCATTGTGATGATGACGATGCTGATCCGATGATGATTCTGTTGATGTTGACGATGCTGCTGCTGATGTTGAGCATGGTGCTGCTGATGATGATGACGACACTAAAAACGATGATGATGACGACGATACTGATGACGACGATGATGATGCTGATGATATGATGATTATGATGATGCTGCTGATGATGATGCTGATTCTGATTATGATTATGCTTATGATTATGACCATGATTATGGTGATGACGGTGACAGTCATACTGATGATGCCGACGATGATGATGATGAAGATGATGATGGTGGCGGTGGTGACGATGATTATCCATTGTAAGGATGAGTGGGGAGCATAGTCTAGCTGGGGCGATGATGATGACGACGACGATGATGATGCTGATGAGGATTCTGATGATGATGACGACGATGATGATAATGATGATGATGATGATGATGATGATGGTGATGATGATGATGATGATGATGCTGATGATGCTGCTGCTACTGCTGCTGATGAGGATGGTTGAAAGAGCTATGGTTCTTCTCGTGTGCGCGCTTCTGGATAATTACCCGAGACGAATCCAACCCCTTCTCCACGCGAGGCGAATATTGCGAAGGCCTTACGGCCGGTGCCGCCGACCCTGCAGACGGAGACGACGAGCAGGACAAGGACGTTGAGGAGCAGGAGGCGGAGGACGTCAGGGAGCAGGAGGGGGGATGATGATGACGATGATGATGATGATGATGATGATGATGATGATGATGATGATGATGATGATGATGATGATGATGATGATGATGATGATGATGATGATGAGATGAGATGATGATGATGATGATGATGATGATGATGATGATGATGAGGAGGAGGAGGAGGAGGAGGAGGAGGAGAGGACGAGGGAAACCCAGAGGAGGAGGAGGAGGAGGAGGAAGAGAGGAGGAGGAGGAGGAGGAGGAGGGAGAGGAGGAGGAGGAGGAGGAGGAGGAGGAGGGGGGAAATTAATATGAGCAGGACAAGGCGAGCAGGGCCTGAGGCCTGGGCGTCCTGGACTTTTTGGGGGGCTGGTCCTGGTGCTGGGTCCTGGGAGGAGGTCCTCGGGGCTGGATCCTGGAGGGTCCCAGGGACCTCGGAATTCTGGATCTGGAAAAATGCATCCCGACGGCCGACGGTTGCTCCTAATTTTCGATCTGTGCTGCAGCTACAGCCTTGAGGATTTCACCATAAAACGCGCCATGATCGACTACAGGGAGTAAAAATCTGGATTTCCAAAACGAGCTTTCAAATCTCTCACAATCTTCCAAAAACCGACCCCAGGTCATCACTGGAGTGTCCCGTGGCCGAGCGTCCAGGAGGCCGGCTCGGTTCTGGAGGGGGACGGATGGAAGAGGAGAGGTGAGGATGGAGGGAGGTGGGGGGAGGGAGGAGAGGGCGTGGTAGAATGCCTCGGCGTTTGGCCCGTCTGAGGCTCTGTGTGGGCCCCGGGACCCCCAGGGGGGGAGTCGTATCTGACGCGGGAGCCCTTCCTGGACCCCCCCCAGGACTCCCCCCGGGACCCCCCCCAGGACCACCCCAGGACACCCCCTTTGGACTCCCCCGGGACCCCCCCGAGACCCCCCCCCCCTGGCAGGGAAGGGATCAAAGGGAAGGTGCTTCCCTTCGACTCAATGACAACGTTGCTCTTGAGGGGGAGGCCCTGGAAAAGCGGGGGGGGGGGGAGCGGCGACGGGCCCAGGGAAGACGGGGAAAGGGGAGGAGGGGAGACGAGCCCAGGGAAAGGGGGAGCGCAGGGACAAGAGACGACTGGCCCAGGGAAACGGTGGGCGCAGGGACAGGAGACGACGGAGACGACGACGAGCGAACGACGGGAATGGACAAGCCCCTCACACGCGCCGACACAGGGTCGGCGGATTTGTATGAACGCTTCATACGACCAAACACATCGCCAGAAATGCACGATCAGGGCTGCTCTCACCCCCGCCGTAACAGCTGAGCCGTTCGCAGCCACCCAGGGAGCTGCGAAGTCTCGGCTGGATCCGCGTGGCCCCCGACTCCGCTGGACCTCCCAGAAGTCCATGAAAATATCGTTAGTTGCACAGTTCGCAGACACACAGGGAGATGCAAGGTCACAAATGGCCCGTTTACTTACCAACTCCGCCGTGGCTTCCAGGAACCCACGAAAGTTGCGACAGTTGCGCAGTTCGCAGCCTCCCAGGGAACAGCGCAGGAGGAGGCAGTACGAACGTGGCGACAGTTGCGCAGTTCGCAGACACACATGGAGCTGCGAGATCCCGTCCGGGTCCGCATGGCGACAGTTGCGCAGTTGGCAGCCGCCCAGGGAGCTGCGAGATCTCAAATGATCGTTTACTCCCCGACTCCGCCGTGCCTCCCAGGAGCCCACGAAAGTGGCGACAGTTGCGTAGCTCGCAGCTCAGCCGAAAGTGGCGAAAGTGGCGACAGTAGCCCCCCCCAGGGAGCTGTGAGGTTTCAAATGGTCCGTTTACTCCCCGACTCAGCCGTGTCTCCCAGGATCCCACGTTAGTGGCAACAGTTGTACAGTTCGAAGATACACAGGGAGCTGCGAGGCTTCAAATGGTCCGTTTTACTCCCCGACTCTGGCGTGCCTCCAAGGAGCCCACGAAAGTGACGACAGTTGCGCAGTTCGCAGCCACCCAGGGAGCTGCGATGGGCTGGTTGGCTGGTTGGGCTGGTCGGGTTGGCAGGTTGAGCTGGGCAGGGCAGCTGGTTTCGATCAGGAATCGCTATCTGGTTCGAAACGTCCCTGCAATCTACTCAAGAGTAGCACTCTCGCCTGAGACCCCCTCATATTGAGTGGCTACCGAGCAGACTGTTGGTGACGATGGCAATGATGATGTGATGGTGACGATGATGATGAGGATGATGATGATGCTGTTGTTGATGATGCTGATGGCGATGCTGATGATGCTGCTGCTGACGATTACGATTACGATGCTGCTGCTGCTGATGATGATGATTATGCTGATGCTGATGATGATTGATGATTGATGATTGATGATTGATGATGATGATGATGATGATGATGATGATGATGATGATGATGATGATGATGATGATGATGATGATGATGATGATGATGATGATGATGATGATGATGATGATGATGATGATGATGATGATGATGATGATGATGATGATGATGATGATGATGATGATGATGATGATGATGATGATGATGATGATGATGATGATGATGATGATGATGATGATGATGATGATGATGATGATGATGATGATGATGATGATGATGATGATGATGATGATGATGATGATGATGATGATGATGATGATGATGATGATGATGATGATGATGATGATGATGCTGATGATGATGATGATGATGATGATGATGGTGATTGATGATGATGATGAGGATGAGGATGATGATGATGATGATGATGATGATGAAGATGATGATGATGATGATGCTGATGACGATGCTGGTGTTGATGATGATGGTCGCGCTGACGATGCCATTGATATTATTGGCGAGTATAGGAAGATGACGATGGTGGTAATGATGATGGCGGTGATGACGATATCATGCTGGTTTACATTTGCAGACGGAGAGTTGCCCTGGTCGCTCACAAACACCACGATCTCTCCGCCTCCACTCCAGGTGTCCGTCTTGGGACGGGCCGCGTCGGCCGCAACAAGCCAGGCAGCTCGCGGAGAAGTCGGTTCCTCTGCCAGCAGCAGGGCTTGACTTGCAAGTATGCGCATGCAAGCACCCAATGCCCAGCTCCACTCCAGCGGGCCCACTTGCAATATTCTATGCCGCTATTATGGCTGGCGACGTCGATGGCAGCCGTGATGGTGCATGCGGCAGCAATGTGAGAGATGGGTCCCGCAGCGGGCGACAGAAGTGGGCCCTTGGCCTGACCACGCTGGCGCAGCCCCGAATCGTTCCGCGCGAAATTCATTTTTGAGCGCTGGAACTTGCAATCTTCCGTTTGTGTAAATGAGTGTTTGCGTGTGTGTGTGTGTGTGTGTTTGTGTGTGTGTGTGTGTGCGCGTGTGTGTGTGTGTGTGTGTGTGTGTGTGTGTGTGTGTGTGTGTGTGTGTGCGTGCGTGCGTGCGTGCGTGTGTGTGTGTGTGTGTGTGTGTGTGTGTGTGCAGCGTTGTATCTCTTTGCAGAGCAGCACGCTGTCCAACTGTAGCTTGTGCCTCGTGCGAGTCCACGCTTCCTTTCTTCGCTCTCTTTCCTCTCATGCCGTCCCTCCCCGTCTCGCGCCGTGTGATCTGCCCTCACTCTCCCCCGTGAGCTGTAGCGGGCACAGCATCGACTGCAGTGCAGGGCTCTACCGTCGCGTGCGCGGTTGCCCCCGAGGTCTCTCTGCAGCGGATGCCGGACGGGGGCGTGTCGGCCACCTTCGGGAGGATGCGCGAGCAGCACTGTGGCGCAAGCGACGGGTAGGAGCAGGGGCGCGCAGATGGGCGAACAGCGAGCGGCGAAACATGTACCCTGCCTCGTTGCTCGCGCGACTTGTGGTCGGAGGGAGCCGACGATACACGTGCACCGATGCTGGCCAGGGTCGGTGTGTGTGCGTAGCTGGCGCCCTCCCGTGTGGGTCGCCTTCCTCGCATCAGCTTGCCCGCTCCGCTGCTCTGCCCTGCCCCTTGTGGGCTTTGGGCCGGGACCCGAGGCCCAGGATCGGGCAGATTCGTTGCGGTCGCGGCGACGCAGCTGGCCCTGGCGAAGCGATGTCCTGGCTGAGCTGATCCTTGAGGTGCCATAGGAGGCCGCCAACATTTTCGCGACACGACCCCCCTCTCTGTCAGTAGGCCCCCGTGTATGCTTCATCTCTCTTTTTTGTTTCTCTCTATCTCTCTCTATCTGTATCATATATATATATGTGTATGAATGTATCTGGGCTTTCTATTCCTCTTTCTGTGCAAGCACATATACATGTACATACACACATGTGTATATGTATATGTATATGTATATGTATATGTATTTGTATTTGTATTTGTATTTGTATTTGTATATGTATATGTATATATATGCATACACGGGCGGTGCTTTAGTTTTGACCGTATCTTGGAAGTCGCAAAGATCAGCGCCGCGCGCCCCCCCCCCACTTCCTACCCCTTGATGCAAAGCTGAGGAGACCGACGAGAGACGACGGCAATGGACCTCATCGGTGACGTCGTCGCGTCGCTTCGTTGCTCAGCTCTGCATCGCTGGCGGGAGGGGGGGGGGGCGCGGGCTGCGCGTTCGCCCTGCGGTAGATTCGGCTACCGCCGCATGGGCGCGCCGTGGCATTTCCGCTTCGATCGCTTCCCGAACGGCGCAATCTGGGGCAGCGCGGTCAGAATCTTTAGTACGTGGCGAATATATATATATATATATATATATATATATATATAGATCTCGATGTATGTGTTGGTTCGTCCCATCTTTCCCGCCGTTGTGTTTATCCCTCCTAGTTCATCGCTCACCTCGCGTGTGTCAGCGTGTTGACAAGGATTGCTTCTGCGAGTCGGTCGAGCATGGGGACACGCGTACATAGCATGTGCGCAGTGTGGAGTGGGAGGGGACAACCGGCTACTGGCGTCGCGAAGTGGTGAGCTGTGCAGAGGCTCCCAGATCCAGTGTCGCCGCCGCGCATGCCTGCCAATTCGCTGAGAGAAAACGGACGCGTGCTGAGCCAGATCCGCCAGGGACTTGAGACGCTGTGTCTTCGGCTGCAAATCATGGGAGCCTTGGATGTCGTCGAACCTCCGTCTTTACAGTGCTCTGGCGTGCGCTAGTATCTGGCCATCGATGAGAAATCATCGATCTAGCTTCGATTAGCGCCGATGTAGCGCCGGCTAGCGTCTATAAGCGTCGGTTCGCGTCGGTTACCGTCGATTCGCACGAGCCAGCAAAATGGCATTGGTGGTTCACGTGAGTTGACACCGAAGGCTCGATCTGGCGCGGGACCTTTGCTATGCGGCGTAGGAAGTGCAACTAACGAAAAGCAGAATACCCAGCACACCAATCGCTGCAATCGCAGTGGTGGGCTTCGGTGCCATCCTTAGCGAGCTCGTCGCGCCCCCTGCCATCCCATGAGTTGCCACTGAATTGCTTCGCGGGAGGCGGAACTGACGAGACAGTCCAAAGGCCCAGGTCGCGAACCGAGGCGCACGGCGTGGCGGCGCATATTGTTTCGACGTATGACCTGACCCGTGTACCGCGAGCGCCGCGCGCATGCACCATGCGGTGTGTGAGTATTGTGGCGAGATTTCGCGTAAATTTCGAAGAAGAGCAAGCGGCACAAACACAAACTTTCGGAGGTCCGCGCGGATTTCTTGGATCCGTGCTGTGCACCCAGCGCGCTCCGCGCGCCAGGGAGTGGAGTCCAGCGCGGACCCAAAAAATCCGCACAGACCGTCGACAGCATCTGTTTTGATTAACCCAGGAAGGACCCCCCAACCTTTGGGGAGGGGACCCACTGAGGCCCCGACTTCATAGTAAGGTCTGGGTTTTTCTGTCCTCGATGATGCTCATGCCCCCTCCCCTCTTCCTCCGAAGTTGCCGCCCCTCTTCTCATCGCACCGGCAGCCTCCGCACTCCAGAGCGGGCCTCGCCTTCGGACGCCTGCGGAAGAAACACGGCGACGGCTCCGGCGGCGGCAGGGCGGCGGAAGGTTGGCGGAAGTAATATAGTCGGTGATCTTCAGGACGTGTGGTAGGCCAAGTTCGGCGGCGAGCGAGGGGGGGGGCTGAGAAGGAGGAGGCCTTCTCATAAGGCTCGGAACTCCCCCGATCTTTGAGAAGCTTTCCAAGCCTTCCCCGGAGACGCAGAAAACTTCTCAGAAGGCGCGAGGGTTTCTGAGAAGTCCCGCCGCCTTCTGAGAATGCCTTCTCCTTCTCACTTCCCCCCCTCGCTCGCCGCCGACAAGCGTGTGTGTTACCCCGTTGGGCTCCGCCGATAGCGCTTGCAGCCTGTGTCGGCCCTCGTTGAGCCGCCTGCGTCGTTTGAAGGGCCTCGGTGGACAATCACATGTTGGCGCTGACACACTTTCTGAGGATCATCGAAAGAGCGACCCCATTTTTTCTGGATTTCACCGGCTTTCCCGAATCGGCCAAACGCAGCGAGAGCGCCCCAGCAGCAGCATGCCGCGCTGGGCGAGCTTGCCACGAATGGCGGAGTACGCGACATCGCCCGCCTGCTCTCTCTCTCTCTCTCTCTCTCTCTCTCCCGAGCTGTACTCTTGGTGCAAGCGGTGTCGCCTCGCATGCGCGCCTTGTCGGTGTGCGTTCGGCTCGTTCTCTCTCAGGTGGTGGGCTCAGGCTCTGGCTGCCCGCAGCCTGGGACGGCAGGTGCCGCGCCCGCGCGCTTCTGGTGCGCGCGGCCCCGACCGCGCACCGCCAGCCCGCGCGAGAGGCCGTTTTGGCCCCGCAAAGAGAGCCCGCAGAGGCGGGGCCGCGCCGCTCGCCATGGCGGGGGCGGCCAAGCTGTCGGACGACCTGAGCCGCAGCTTCGCCAAGGCCGCCCGCGCGTCGCGGCGGGGGCCGTGTGCGTGTACACCTTATGCGATGCTTAAGAAAACCTAAGTTTTCGGCCAGAGTCTCGATTATTCTTAACGTTTCAATGTAAATCCTAAGATTTTGATAAAACAAATGTTGGGCTGTTATGCAAGTTCTGAGACTATGAATTTCTTAACCCATGATTTCTTAAGCATTTCGCAGGGTGTACCCTATCTTGGAGCCGGCTGAGGGCTGAGGTCGCCCAGCATTGGTTCCAGCCAGCGGCAAGGGGGGACTAAGGGACACTCTCGTCGCCACGGCTGGGCGCAGTTTGAAAGAGACTGGTCGGTTTCGACGCCCCGCGGGGTGCAGGGACCGATTTTGAGCGGATTTGCCCTCGTCCCCCCCCCTCTTGACCGATTCTCTTGAGACCCATCCGGTGCGGACCTCCCGGTCGCTGTCAAATCTCTGAGAGAGCGCTTTCTGCCGCTGCTGGCAGCATGGGGTGTCCCCCCCCATAATCAGGTGGGGAGGGGGGGGGTCCGGAGTCTCCCCCCCCCCGCCGCGAAATTATTCGGATGGGTCCGAACACCCACCCCTCCCTGGAAAGTTATCCCTGGAAAATCTTCCGAGGGGTCCAGAGCCCCCTCCCCTCCCCCTGCGACGACGACGACGACGACGATATTCCTAGTGGGTTTTTACTAAAGCTTAATCGAGCCCTGGTACGATTCCATTAGAGCTGGATCCAATTTTAGAAGGACTTTGTATCAATGCCGGATTGAGATTTTAGTAAGCTGTCAGCCGGATTCCATCAGACCTGGACCCAGCCCTGATGTGATTTTACTAGAGTTAGACCCACCCGTTGTAGGATTCTATCAGAGCTGGATCGATCCCTAGTCGGATTCTGTGCGAGCTGGATCGGCCCCTTAGTGCTCGATGGAGCCCGAGCAGGATTGTATCAGTTCCAGACCTGGCCGTCGTAGGATTCGATCAGAGCAGGATCTAGCATTGTAAGATTGTTTCCAGATCCAGCCCCAGTAGGATTCCATCACAGCTGTATTAATGCAAAATCTGATTTTCGGAGTTTTGGACCCACCCTTCATAGAGCTGTGTGGAAGCGGGATTGAGCCTTAGTGGGATTCCGTTAGAACTGTATCGACCCCTTTGTAGGCTGCCACTAGAGCTGGATCCAGGCCCAGTAGGAGTCAGTTTGAACTTCTGTAGAATTCCATAAATGCTTGTTCGAACTTGAATTTAATTTGCTCATCATCACTACTGGTGGGATACCCTGGAAGCGTATGACCTGGATGCCCTGGAGGTGTACTGGCGGATGCTCTGGAAGCGTATGCCCTGGATGCGTATTCCAAGGTGTCCTGGAGGTATCCTGGCAGACCCTGGACGCGTACTGGATTGCGTCCTGGATGCGTACTCTACGGTGTATACGTCCTGGATGCGTATTCGAAGGTGTCCTGGAGAGTGCCCTGAAGGTGTCCTGGCGGATACCCTGGAAGCGTGCTGGATTGCGTCTTCGCGGCTTCTTCTGTCCGTCGGGTGCCCCCCTCTCCCCTGGTGCACCCAGCACCCCCCGTGGAGGCTTATTCCGACCGTTTGGCCGTCTGGCGCCCCTTGCTTCCCTGGCCACATTCCCTGGTGGCTTATTCTGACCACCCGACCGACCGTGAGGCCGTCTGGCGCCCCCTCCCCCCCTCCTGGGTGGCTGGAGGCTTACTCCGGCCGTCTGGCCCTCCGGCGCCCCCTCCCGCGCCCTCCCCCCGCCCCTGGAGGCCTAGCCCGATGCTGTCCGCCTGTCCGGCGGTCCCGCGCTCCCCCAGCGCCTGGCTGGGGACTTCTTCTGGCCGTCCAGCCATGTGACCTCCCCCCCGTTCCCCTGCCCGCCCCCTGGAGGCTTCTTCCAGACGTCCGACGTCCCCCCCCTCTCCCCAGCACGCCCCCCTCCCCCTGGAGCCTCCTTCCGACCGGCCGGCGGCTCGGCGCCCCCTGCTGCCCGCCGCCCCCCCGGAGGACTTCTTTCCGACCCTCCGACCGTCTGGCGTTCGTCCGGCGCTCCCCTCTCTCCCGAGCCTCCCCCCGGAGGCTTCTTCGGACTGTCCCACCGTCCGGCGCCCTCCCTCCCCCAGCGCCCCCCCCCTGGGGAAGTGCTCCCACCATTGTCGGGCCGTGAGGCTCCTCCAGCGCTTCCCCTGGAGCGTCGTTCCGAGCGTCCGACCCACTGGCGCCCCCCTGTTTCCCCGGCGCTGCCTCCAGCTTGCGACGAATCTGCCGTTTCCAGTGCTCCAGTGCTGGTTCCCTTTCCCCGTCCACGCCCCCTCCTTCCTGCCCCCCTCGCTCCTCCCTCCCTCCCTGCGTCCTTCCCTCCCTCACCCCCTCAGCTCATTTCCCGCAGACGCTTCATCGCCATGCCGACAAACTCACTGTTCCCCAATGCTGTGATGCAGCCCGTTAGCGTTGCGCCACGCGCTCGCTTATCAGCATTGGGTGACGGTGGACTCGTCGAGGACGTTTTGATGAAGTTTGATTCCCAACCATCCTGTGGTGTTGGGTGCTCGTTTTGAAGAGACAGCGCCCCGCGTTCCTTCCTCCTCCCGCTTCTCCCTTCCCCTCCTCCCTCCTCCCCCTCCTCCCTCCTCCCCCTCCTTGCCTTTGCTCTCGGCTCCACCGAAGGCCCCAGTGGGGGTGTTCGCATGCGGGTCTCCCACCCAGGACAGCGTTTCGTGGCCCCATAGGGGGCTCCACCGAAGGCCCCACTGGGGGTGTTCGCATGCGGGTCCCCCACCCAGGACAGCGTTTCGTGGCCCCATAGGGAGCTCCACCGAAGTCTCCACTGGGGGTGTTCGCATGCGGGTCCCCCACCCAGGACAGCGTTTCGTGGCCCCATCGGGAGCTCCACCGAAGGCCCCAGTGGGGGTGTTCGCATGCGGGTCCCCCACCCAAGGCAGCGCTTCGTGGCCCCATAGGGGGCTCCACCGAAGGCCCCTTGGGGTTGTTCGCATGCGGGTCCCCCACCCAGGACAGCGCTTCGTGGCCCCATAGGGAGCTCCACCGAAGGCTCCACTGGGGGTGTTCGCATGCGGGTCCCCCACCCAGGACAGCGTTTCGTGGCCCCAAAGGGAGCTCCACCGAAGGCCCCAGTGGCTGCTCTCGCATGCGGTTCCCCCTCCCAGGGCAGCGTTTCGTGGCCCCACAGGGAGCTCCACCGAAGGGCCAGTGGCTGCTCTCGCATGCGGTCCCCCCACCCACGGTACATCGACAAAATGTTGCACCACCTGGTGTTGTCAAGAAAGCAAGCCGATTTTGCAATGGATGTTCGCTTCCACCCCCCCCCCCCCCCAATCTTAACATTGACTGCGGTCCCGGGTTCATCGAAACGGCTCGGTGGTGCAACATTCTGTCGCGAGCCCTGGGGGGGACGCCAAGGGACCTTTGCCATGTGCCCAATATTAAGATTAGGGAGAGGGGGGGGGAGGAGCAATGCAATATAGCTGACAATGCGCGGCAAAAGTGGTGCAACATTTTGTCGACGTACGGCAGGGCAGCGCTTCGTGGCCTCATAGGGAGCTCCACAGAAGGCCCCAGTGGCTGCTCTCGCATGCGGTTCCCCCACCCAGGACAGCGTTTCGTGGCCCCATAGGGAGCTCCACCGAAGGCCCCAGTGGCGCAGTTCGCATGCGGTTCCCGTACCCAGGGCAGCGTTTCGTGGCCCCATAGGGAGCTCCACCGAAGGCCCCCGTGGCGCAGTTCGCATGCGGTTCCCTTAACCAGGGCAGCGCTTCGTGCCCCCATAAGGAGCTCCACCGAAGGCCCCAGTGGCGCAGCTCGCATGCGGTTCTCCCGCCCAGGGCAGCGTTTTGTGGCCCCATAGGGAGCCCCTCCGAAAGCGGCACCCACAACGCGTTACGCACAATTGCTTTTGGTTGTGTCCTTCGCCAGGATATTTCTTTTTACTACGCCTGCTGTCGCGTTCCTCCGGGGGACTAGCATTTCGCTCCATTGAAACCCATTAGACGTCGCCCTTCATACCGAGATCGCCTTGATATCGAAATCGTTTGCGCACTCTCAAAAGCCCTCCTGGAATTCCACCTGCCTCGTTATGGTCGCTCGTCGGCGTGTCGCAACACTCGCGCACTTCCCCGCTGCTGCCAGAACGTTGCGCCATCGCCCCCCCCTGCTTCCCCACCCGTGACTGTATGATCCTCAGCACGCGTCCCCGTTAGAGCTGGATCCAGCTCTAGAAGCAGGATTCTATCACGTCTGGATCGAACCCTAATAGGACTCTTATCAAGGTTGCAGCGAGCTCTAGTAGGATTCTATTAGTGCTGGATCCAGCCTTATAGGAATTTGATTAGGGCTAGATCCCCCTCATGGGAATATATAAGAACTGGGTGGGCCTCGCATGAAATTCCATTGGAGTCAGATCAAATCCTGATATGAATTTATGTGAGCTCGATCCAACCCTAATAGGATTTTACTAACGATGGATTGAGCCTTAGTCGGACTGCGTGAGAGCTGGATCCAATCTTCGAAGGATTCTATTAAGGCTGGACCCAGCTCTCGTAG